CCCCCCCCCCCCCCCCCCCGACTCTTCTCTAAAGCCATTCCCTACCCATACCTCAAGACCCTTTACAATAATCACATGGAGAAGCATTCTTCCACTGTAACCCCATGTGTAACGCAGCTCTCTCAAAGTGATTCAGGTGAGACAAGGCATATTATTCACAGTGCTTAAACATACCCAGATTATTATGACAGTTCTGGGTTAAGGATCACCATGCATGCAGCCAGGGCAGTAGATCTGAAGAGGCAATAATACACAGCAGGGCAATTCAAGTGCTCGTGAGCTGAATAGGTGCTCTAGGACTTTTACCTTCTTACCTTTTTTCACCTGTGTCTGGCCATGCCCTCAAATGTTTCAGAATTTGGACAACTGTCCATAGATCAGACTCACAGAGCAGACAAAATTAACATTCATCATGACATGAACATCCAGAAGGACGAGTAAGAGTGAACAGCTAGTAGTTGAAAAATGATTAACATTTCCCAGTCCACAGATAAAAATACCTTAGGGATGTTCTTCTTTATCACAGTGCCTGATGACTCTTCTCTGTGCAGACTGGCTGCAGTACAAGGGGAACTGATAAGCACATTATTCCATGATTTAAAAAAAAAACAAGGAAAATATGACACTTCATTTGTTGCACAACAAGAATGTGATTCTCCACCAGCTTACATTTTTAAAAATTATTTGCATCTGTGGAAGAGGGTGAAATAGCCCTGTGCAGATCAGATGGTGTTAATAAGCACTTTCAGTGGTGCACAATGGAAAGATTGTCTTGTGGGTAAAGTACTAGCCATGGAGTTTAGAGATGTGGGTTCTGTTTTAATGCAGTCTTGGCATCTAATTTTTCTGTCCCCCCTTTCCTGCCTATAAAATAAGGATTATATTATTTTATTTCCAGCATTGTGCCTTCACATTTACACTATATATACTTCAGAAGAGCAGCTATCTCTTGGTTATCTCTTGTAATGTTTAGAGCAGTAAGGACTCAATTTTGCTGTGCAGTCACGACAAGGAATTGTTCATGGAAGAAATGCCTAGTATAGTGCTTACTTTATTAAAGCTCTCTTTACCACACTTCTGTTCTACTAATGAATGTTGTGGGATATAAAAGTGTGGTCAGAAATGCAGAGAGGGAAGTCACCTCCCTTGGCACCGCATGGAGTTTTTTTGCTGTTGTAGCTACCCCCTGTCTGGAGAGTATGACACGGGGCAGGTTGCTGTACGGGTTCCTGTCCAAGATGATGCAATGAGTTTATGCAGCAGCTCTCCTCTATAACTCGCAGACTTTGTGGATGATCCTTGTGACAGCAAGGGCAGAGGGGTGAGAAAGAACATACTGCCCAGTTTACTTCTAGCCTGGAGCTTAGCCTGGGAAATCCTCTATGGGAAGCTGGTATTTCAGCTGTACTGGTTGCTGATGTAGATCAAAACCTCCCCTTACTCCTTTTCCTAGCGTGAGAATAATCTACAAGTGTACAGCATTTCCTGACATAATGCCTCAGGTCACTTTCACGGGGGGAGGATAGGAGGGCCAGTTCAATTGCAGGATCCTCCAAAAAGTCCTAGATAGATCTCCAGCAAGGTGCTAGGTAATTTCATCCTCTGGGAGCCTGTGATGCTGTGCTCTGTATGCACCTGGGAGAGATTCCTTCCCAAGTCCTCTCACCCTTCCAGTCTCAGGGGGAGGGTGATCTACACACTGGGTTTTGTGAGCAGAGAGGTTCAGTACAAGGGATTACATATGGCTCCTTGAGTTCCCTGTGTCACGGATGCCTGATGAGACGGTGCCCAGGGAGACTGTTTGAATCCTTAGCTGACTTTCGTCCTCTACATTCTGCAATTCTTTCCCTGTTCTTTCCCTGCACTGCTTCCCTGACCTGCAAATACCCGCAGCCCTTAGCCTGTTATGCTAGACCTGGGCTGTGTATTCTGGTCCTTGCAGTGGGGTGTGCACCCCTTCGGTGCCCCCAGTGGGTATCAGGGGGTGATAGACCCAGCTGAGCACCCACCTCTCCTGCCCCAGCACTGCATGGTTTCCTGCAGAAAGGACAGCTGCTGCCTGCGGCTTTCAGTTGCTCCTTTAGTTCAAGCAGTGGGATTCGTGGCCTGCTGATATTGCCATGATGATACCGGTCAGCAGAGGGTATTCTCAGATGGTACCTAGGTCAAGGGACAGCAGAAAATCAGTGTGAGCTTGTGTGTAGCTGCCATAATACGTAGCCTGTCATGTGTGTGCTTTGCTGCTTCTCTTCCTAACTCCATGTAGAAATCATTTATTCAAATCCACTACTTGGAGCTTCTAGCTACCTACACAACAGGAAGGCCAGTTTGGTTTCCATTTGGTTGCCCAGGTGCTTATGCGATGTCCACATGGAATTATTTTGCTTTTCCAGTTGACTTCTACAAGCCTAAAAGATGAATCACCAGGATCCACATTCAAAGAGAAGTATTGTAGGTGCAAAACTCTGAATTCAGAGAACTATTGAGATGAGGTAGCCTGTGTGATTCTAATACTACTGCCTTGCATATAATAATTCAATTTTTAATTATATGATTACAACCTATTTTTTTTTCCAAACTGGACTCTTGCCGCATTAAATGCACAGACTGGACCTGCTGCTGGTAGAGTAAATATTTCTAGAATCCTTGCTTTAGTTGTTTAGTTGTTTCAGAAATATTGAGGGTAGGAAAGGAGAGGGAGCGGACGTGTCAGTGTCCATCTGGCCCCAAATCCTATCTCCAGCAGTGGTCACAAGCGAATGCCTACAGAGGAGAAACAGGGAAAACACATATCACACTTCCTTCTCATCCTCTCCAAGCCTTCAACAGTTTTCAGCTCAGACTTCCCAGTCTAGAAATCCTTGCATTTGGTAACTTTCAATGTATTTCTCTTCAACAAATACATTGACCTCCACTGGAGGCCATGCAAGTTTTTTGTGTCTTCAACACAAAACTTGTGAAACTCTGTTTCACAGCTTAGTTGTTTCCTGAAAAATACCCTCCTTGAGGTTGTTTTGAGCTGCCACTTCCTAGATCTTTT